AAACAGGTTTGTTGATTTTTTTGCAAAAAAAAAAAAGAACAACAATTTAAATATTACATGAGTATTCAGACTCTATACTCAGTACTTTGGTGAAGCACCTTTGGCAGCGATTACAACCTCAAGTCTTCTTGGGTATGTCACTACAAGCTTGGCACACCTGTATGTGGGGAGTTTCTCCCATTATTCTCTGCAGATCCTCTCAAGTTCTGTCAGGTTGGATGGGGAGCGTCACTGCACAGCTATTTTCAGGTCTCTCCAGAGATGTTCGACCGGTTTCAAGTCCAGGCTCAGGCTGGGACACTCAAGGACATTCAGAGACTTGTCCCGAAGCCACTCCTGTATTGTCTTAGCTGTGTGTTTCGGGTCATTGTCCTGTTGGAAGGTGAACCTTCGCCCCAGTCTGAGGTCCTGAGTGCACTGGAGCAGGTTATCGTCAAGGATCTCTCTGTACTTCATCTTTCCCTCAAACCTGACTAGTGTTCCAGTCCCTGCTGTTGAAAAACATCCCCACAGCATGATGCTGCCACCACCATGCTTCACTGTAGGGATGGTGCCAGGTTTCCTCCAGACGTGATGCTTGGCATTCAGGCCAAAGGGTTCAATCTTGGTTTCATCAGACCAGATAATCTTGTTTCTCATGATCTGAGAGTCCTTTAGGTGCCTTTGGCAAACTTGAAGCGGGCTGTCATGTGCCTTTTACTGAGGAGTGGCTTCCATCTGGCCACTCTACCATAAAGACCTGATTGGTGGAGTGCTGCAGAGATGGTTGTCCTTCTGGAAGGTTTTCCCATCTCCACAGAGGATCCCTGGAGCTCTGTCAGAGTGACCATCGGTTCTTGGTCACCTCCCTGACCTCGATTGCTCAGTTTGGCCGGGCAGCCTGCTCTAGGAAGAGTCTTGGTTCCAAACTTTTTCCATTTAAAAATGATGGAATCTGTTCTTGGGGACCTTCAATGCTGCAGAAATGTTTTGTTACCCTTCCCCAGATCTGTGCCTCGACACACTCCTGTCTCTACGGACAATTCCTTTGACCTCATGGCTTGGTTTTTGCTCTGACATGCACTGTCAACTGTGGGACCTTATATAGACAGGTGTGTGCCTTTCCAAATCATGTCCAATCAATTGAATTTACCACAGGTGGACTCCAATCAAGTTGTAGAAACATCTCAAGGATGATCGATTCAAACAGGATGCACCTGATCTCAATTTCGAGTCTCATAGCAAAGGGTCTGAATACTTATGTAAATAAGGTATTTCTGTTTTTATTTATAATAAATTTGCAAAAATGTCTAAACCTGTTTTCGCTTTGTCATTATGGGGTATTGTGTGTAATTTGATGAGGGAAAATCTGTGACTCTGGATGGTGCTCATTGAGCTTTTGATGGTAATTTGGTGGTCCTCGGAACAGAAAAGGTTGGGAACCGTTGCTCTAAGGTGATTCATGTAGTAGTTCACCAAAATCCGAATGATTTACAGGTTGATATCTGGTGTTTCCAGGTCATTTCTGCCACTTTAGGCAGGTTATTTATTAAATATATGGCACTGAAAATCCAAGAATAATATCACGTTTCCAAACTCTGATTCAGTATTTGTGGCCATATTGGATTATGCATACAAAAAAAAAATATCTTCTAATATCAATTCATACATCCCAAAGAGAATCTCTACCAAATTCGATACTTGTATCCGCCATGTAACGGTTTCATATTTTTTTTAACTTTCTAGCACATCAAGCTAACTTCCAGAGTAGGTAGCTAGCTTGCCAGCTAGCATTGTTGCCATGGGATTGTGCACCTTACATTGTTTCGCTAAGTAGCTAGCTAGCTATTTAACTAGCTAGCTGGTTGATGTCTTCCTTTTTGCAACCAGGACAGAGGAAAACATTTACCTGCACAAACTTTTTCCACTTAATTTAAGGGAGAAATTTGCCTTTAAATGTTTTGTGTTACTGACTTAAAGTTAAGTAAGTATCTCCCGAGTGGCGCAGTGGTCTAAGGCACTGCATCGCAGTGCTAGCTGTGCCACTAGAGATCCTGGTTCGAATCCAGGCTCTGTCGTAGCCGGCCGCGACCGGGAGACCCATGCGACGGCGCACAATTGGCCCAGTGTCGTCCAGGGTAGGGGATGGAATGGCCGGCAGGGATGTAGCTCAGTTGGTAGAGCATGGCGTTTGCAACGCCAGGGTTGTGGGTTCGATTCCCACGGGGGACCAGTATGAAAAAATAACAAAAAATAATGAATGCACTCACTAACTGTAAGTCGCTCTGGATAAGAGCGTCTGCTAAATGACTAAAATGTAAAATGTAAGTAAACTTTAAGGGAAAAGATGAGGGGGAAAATAACTTACGATGTTTTATGCAACCGGGCCCAGGACTACATTGTGATTTATTGAATTACTGTTTAACATTGAAGACTGTAATACAAGTGTCTAACTAATTGTGGATTTATAGGAACTTACAGTTTAAAAGTAGAAGTGTTTAAAAGTGTTCATTTTATTAACTTTATTTATCAGAACGAATGGCACTTATTACTAGTACTGTTATCGTTACAGACAAATGATCAAAATTCTTTCAGAAAGTATTGCATTCATAATAGCTCAAATGTAGCTCTGCACCTCTTTCTCTTTATTATCATTACTGTTTACAAGTTGTTATTTTAATGTTCATACTGAGGAACATTTGTACTGTAAAACACAATTGCACATATAGGGGAGTTGAGTATTTTTCTATAACACACTGTATTGAAAAGGAATGAGTGCATTTTACAATGTAAATAAAAGCTTTCCAAAATAATGCCCATTGTCCTACACATTTAAAGGAATTTAATGTGTTCCATTATGTCTGTTAAATTTCTCTTTCCCTAATTTGTGAACGCCCCTATTCCTGAAACAAAATTCATTTTTAGTTCTATGCTGGAAATCAACAGGAGGGGGCATTGTTTTGTATAAAATAAGATAAAAGATAAAGAGAAGAACGGTAATATATCTGAAACAACAGTATGTGCTGACTCGATATTCCCAACTCTAGTTCATATTAGGATGGTTTTGCTCTATATCTTGGTTGTTGGTACTGATCTAATCTGAGTGAACCTCTGCTTACAGTAGCTTACATGGTAGGAGGCCCAATACTCTGAAATTAATAAGGTGGAACAGAGCCACTGAGGCTAAAAAGCTTAATTTTTAACAGGATTGTATGTTGTTGATTAATCTCTAAGGCAACATTCCCATTGAACAGCTCAGAGCAAAGGGGTGAGAGCCTTTTCAGTTTTATTTTAGATTGTTATTTTCCAGAAATGTCAAAAAAATAGGCTAGTAGCTATTGATGACTTGGTCAAAAGTACGGAAAACCAGCAAAACAGATAAGCTAAACACATAAGACTGAGTAGATACTGTTGGATATTTCCTTTGGGAAAATAGTCAAATAATTTAAGAGCCTTCTTTTTGAAATTGTAAAGGCAAATCAACTAAAGTGTGGCTGCTGTGCCTTGTGTGGAGCTGAGACATCACAATGCCAAGTAAAGCACAAGAGGTAAGTCAATGAGCAAGTTGGAATGTTTGTAGAGAAAAGCAAAGTAGCAGGAAATGCACTGTACTGTGTAATGTGGTTTAGACATTATGCATGTATAATGCTTTTGTAAAAAGCCATGAGCTATTACAAGTGCTTTATAGTCTCATAATGCACAATGTGTAATATAAATATTTATTAAGTAATATTCTACTTGGAAATGTGTTTCTTTTCTCCAGGTCACTAGTAATCTTCATTAAAGTTGTTAGATGCAGTTTACCAGCACACTTCGTTTTATTACGTGCGACAGGTTCAGGTTCATCATTGCATTCTTTACCAGTAGGCCGACCCTCTTTGAAGTAACTTACTGTAGATCAATTCATTGCTCTCTTTATATACTGAACAAAAATATAAACGCAACATGCAACAATTTCAAAGATTTTACTTAGTTACAGTTAGTTCATATAAGGACATCAAAAAATAACAAAAAATAATGAATGCACTCACTAACTGTAAGTCGCTCTGGATAAGAGCGTCTGCTAAATGACTAAAATGTAAAATGTAAGTAAACTTTAAGGGAAAAGATGAGGGGGAAAATAACTTACGATGTTTTATGCAACCGGGCCCAGGACTACATTGTGATTTATTGAATTACTGTTTAACATTGAAGACTGTAATACAAGTGTCTAACTAATTGTGGATTTATAGGAACTTACAGTTTAAAAGTAGAAGTGTTTAAAAGTGTTCATTTTATTAACTTTATTTATCAGAACGAATGGCACTTATTACTAGTACTGTTATCGTTACAGACAAATGATCAAAATTCTTTCAGAAAGTATTGCATTCATAATAGCTCAAATGTAGCTCTGCACCTCTTTCTCTTTATTATCATTACTGTTTACAAGTTGTTATTTTAATGTTCATACTGAGGAACATTTGTACTGTAAAACACAATTGCACATATAGGGGAGTTGAGTATTTTTCTATAACACACTGTATTGAAAAGGAATGAGTGCATTTTACAATGTAAATAAAAGCTTTCCAAAATAATGCCCATTGTCCTACACATTTAAAGGAATTTAATGTGTTCCATTATGTCTGTTAAATTTCTCTTTCCCTAATTTGTGAACGCCCCTATTCCTGAAACAAAATTCATTTTTAGTTCTATGCTGGAAATCAACAGGAGGGGGCATTGTTTTGTATAAAATAAGATAAAAGATAAAGAGAAGAACGGTAATATATCTGAAACAACAGTATGTGCTGACTCGATATTCCCAACTCTAGTTCATATTAGGATGGTTTTGCTCTATATCTTGGTTGTTGGTACTGATCTAATCTGAGTGAACCTCTGCTTACAGTAGCTTACATGGTAGGAGGCCCAATACTCTGAAATTAATAAGGTGGAACAGAGCCACTGAGGCTAAAAAGCTTAATTTTTAACAGGATTGTATGTTGTTGATTAATCTCTAAGGCAACATTCCCATTGAACAGCTCAGAGCAAAGGGGTGAGAGCCTTTTCAGTTTTATTTTAGATTGTTATTTTCCAGAAATGTCAAAAAAATAGGCTAGTAGCTATTGATGACTTGGTCAAAAGTACGGAAAACCAGCAAAACAGATAAGCTAAACACATAAGACTGAGTAGATACTGTTGGATATTTCCTTTGGGAAAATAGTCAAATAATTTAAGAGCCTTCTTTTTGAAATTGTAAAGGCAAATCAACTAAAGTGTGGCTGCTGTGCCTTGTGTGGAGCTGAGACATCACAATGCCAAGTAAAGCACAAGAGGTAAGTCAATGAGCAAGTTGGAATGTTTGTAGAGAAAAGCAAAGTAGCAGGAAATGCACTGTACTGTGTAATGTGGTTTAGACATTATGCATGTATAATGCTTTTGTAAAAAGCCATGAGCTATTACAAGTGCTTTATAGTCTCATAATGCACAATGTGTAATATAAATATTTATTAAGTAATATTCTACTTGGAAATGTGTTTCTTTTCTCCAGGTCACTAGTAATCTTCATTAAAGTTGTTAGATGCAGTTTACCAGCACACTTCGTTTTATTACGTGCGACAGGTTCAGGTTCATCATTGCATTCTTTACCAGTAGGCCGACCCTCTTTGAAGTAACTTACTGTAGATCAATTCATTGCTCTCTTTATATACTGAACAAAAATATAAACGCAACATGCAACAATTTCAAAGATTTTACTTAGTTACAGTTAGTTCATATAAGGACATCAGAAATACATGAATTAGGCCCTAATCTATAGATTTAGCATGACTGGGAACATATATATGCATCTTTTGGTCACAGATACCTTAAAAAAGAATAGTAGTGGTATGGATCAGAAAACAAGTCATTATCTGGTGTGACCACCATTTGCCTTATGTAGCGCAACACATCTCCTTCGCATAGAGTTGATTAGGCTGTTGATTGTGGCCTTTGGAATGTTGTCCCACTCCTCTTCAATGGCTGTGCAAAGTTGCTGGATATTGATGGGAACTGGAACACGTTGATCCAGAGCTCAACGGGTGAAATGTCTGGAGAGTATGCAGGCCATGGATGAACTGGAACATTTTCAGCTTCCAGGAATTGTGTACAGATCCTTACAACATGGGGCCGTGCATTATCATGCTGAAACATGAGGTGATGGCAATGGATGAATGGCACGACAAATGGGCCTCAGGATCTCGTCACTGTATCTCTGTGCATTCAAATTGCCATCGATAAAATGCAATTGTGTTCATTGTCCGTAGCTTATGCCTGCCCATACCATAACCCCACCGCCACCACGGGGCACTCTGTTCACAACGTTGACATCAGCAACCGCTCGCCCACATGACTCAATTCACATTATCTGTGGTTGTGAGGCCATGTGGACGTACTGCAAAAGTCTTTAAAATATGGTAGAGAAATTAACATTACATTCTCTGGCAAGAAATCTAGTGGACATTCCTGCAGTCAGCCTGCTAATTGCATGCTCCCTCAAAACTTGACAGATCTTTGGCATTGTGTTGTGTGACAAAACTGCATATTTTAGAGTGGCCTTTTATTGTCCCCAGCACAAGGTGCACCTGTGTAATGATCATGCTGTTTAATCAGCTTCTTGATATGCCACAGCTGTCAGGTGGATGGATTATATTGGCAAAGGAGAAATGCTCACTAACTGGGATGTGTAAAAAAGTTGAGAGAAATAAGCTTTTTGTGCATATTTCAGCTCATGAAACATGGGACCAACACTTTACATGTTGCGTAACATTTTTGTTTAGTGTATTTATAAAGCTCTTTTACAAAAACTCCCGCCGACCTAACATCATTATTAACCGAGTTACCATACCCGGTCTCAGTAATGGCTAACTCTGGAAATCCCTTCGGTCTCCTCAGAGTTAGGTAAATCAGCTTTTAGTTTCTTTGCAGCCCATGTATGGAACAATCTACAGAGTTCCCTACAACTGGATGTATTGGTGCCTTTCTGGCAGGTAAAAATTATGAATGGGGACCTCTTTGCTGAGGAATGTGATAGTTTTTTAATTTTGTATATTTGTCATATTTTGTAAATTGTGTGCATGCAGGACTCCCTTTTGACAGGGATCCCTCAATGGGACTCCCTGTTCAAACAAAGGTAAATAATCACAAATGTAGCCTCTAATTGTTTTTTGTCTTCTGGCACACCTTAGCAAAACCTTTTGCAACAAAAAACAACCGTTAGGACAATTTTAGATTTCGGTCTCTCAATTTCAGTCCGCCTCCTTCCGTTTTGAACCTATTGAACAACACAACTCTGGTGTGTTTTCTAGGATGCTGTCATCAACCTGAAGTCTGTCCAGGAGATTTCCAGGGAGCTGGGGTTTGAGTGGACTGTTCTGGCCTACGAGCTGGGCTTCTCCAGGACTGAGGTCCATCAGTTCCATACCACATCCACAGAGAAGAGGGTCCAGGCCAGAAGCATGCTAGAGTGCTGGTGTGTGAATGGCCCCGTTTGAACAGCTTTCCAATGCATCCTTCTTTCCTCGTCCTTGATATAATCACAGATCTAAGATGACTGGATTGGTTGCGTTGACCTATCCATATTACATACAGATCAGTGACTAGGAAAGGAAAGGTTAAGGGGATGTATTTTCAGAGTGTTTGAACAGGGCCACTGTCATGGAATGATTACCTAATGTAATGTGGAAGAAATGTTTTGTAAAGAACTGACATAAATCTTTATTCTACATGTCAGAGGGGCATTGTCTTTGTTCTTCAAACAGGTACTACCATAATATGTTTATATCCTAATGTGCCCTGCTGATCTCAGCCTGTGTGTGTGTGTGTGTGTGTGTGTGTGTGTGTGTGTGTGTGTGTGTGTGTGTGTGTGTGTGTGTGTGTATGTAAGAGAGACAAAGACAGAGACAGAGAGACAGATGATTACTGATCATTCTTGTGCTGTTAACACCTGATTGGATTTATTCTGTAAAACAGATGTATTAAATGTTCAACAGCATAGATACTAACATCACAAGAGCAACACTTGAAATGTACATAGTCATTACATTCATTGATATAATAATAATTTCCAATGCAGAGACATAATGTTAAACTCTCTTCCCCTCGCTATATTCCTAATTTCCCTATCCATCTATCCCCTTCTCTCTCCCTCCCATCCCTGTATCTCCCTCCCATCCCAGGTATGAGAGATCTTGGGACAAGTCCAACAAGACTAAGTTGCTGCAGGACGGTATGGAGCGTGCCGGGCGTCGCGACCTGGCTGAGAGGCTGCGCTGCCTCCACTGGGGCCACCAGAAGCTGAGCCACAGGGTGGAGCTGCCGTCCGCCTTCCCCTTCCTCATCACTGTCCACAGGACCATCGAGAACCGTGAGGGCCTCCGCAGGATCAATGACCTCAGCCGCAGATTCACCTGAGGCATGAGAAAAATATGCCTAGATACACCTGAAAACACATGGACACACAGATATACACATACTGGATTTCAGTGCATCTTCTTTTTTGAAAACAACACTGCACTGTCACTACATACAATAAAATACATTAAAACATGTGAAATAAAATGTACAAAACTAGCACCCTGCAGTATTATTGTAAATAGCCAGTAATAAATAAATAGTCAGTGCAGTCTGGCTGGCTGCAGCAGCCGACGCTCCATATCGAGGTCAACAGAGAGGTAGCTTGTATGGGTTCTTTTTTACCTTAATCCTGCAGAAATCTGTTTAATCTCTCACGACATTGTGGGATCAATTTGACTTAAACACTGGTGTGGAGAGGCTACACATTTTTCAGCAATGATAGAATTGGACAATTGCTTAGTATGCAATAGAATGTCATTGGAAGTAGACAGTGTTTTTGAAACAGCATTTGTATCACCAGGATATTCTGAATATGCTGTCAATACTTGATTAATAACCGTTTTGTGTGTTGTTACAATGTAGCATCACCCAATCAAGTAGTAAACTTCATAGTATCCATTCCTCCTGAGGATGTGAAATTGCACAACCAAACATAATACGGCCCCCTTTGCACTCAACCTATCAGTGCCATATGTGGCATGTCCATTGGGTAGCAAGATTATTTGCGCCTACAGTGTAGCTAACTGCAATGTCTTGAGAACAAGACAGAATTATTCATGGCTGGAAGACAAACCACAAAGCAACGGGTGACAATTTAATTTCATTATTTACAATCTATATTGGAATAATGATTGAAAATCAATGGTGACATTTTCATTCATGGTATGCACGTTGGTCATTCGACAACAAAGACATAGTGTCACAGCGACGTGTATGCGGTAGGCGAAGTCAAGAGCAGGAAACCGAGCTACTGGCAGAAACTTTACTGGAGGCAGTGCAAATACAAAGTACAAAGGCAACCTTTTATTTATTTATTTATTTTTATTTCACCTTTATTTAACCAGGTAAACCAGTTGAGAACAAGTTCTCATTTACAACTGCGACCTGGCCAAGATAAAGCAAAGCAGTGCGATAAAAACAACAACACAGAGTTACATATGGGGTAAAACAAAACAAAGTCAAAAATACAACAGAAATACATATATATACAGTGTGTGCAAATGTAGCAAGTTATGGAGGTAAGGCAATAAATAGGCTATAGTGCAAAATAATTACAATTAGTATTAACACTGGAATGATAGATGTGCAAGAGATGATGTGCAAATAGAGATACTGGGGTACAAATGAGCAAAATAAATAACAATATAGGGATGAGGTAGTTGGGCGGGCTAATTTCAGATGGGCTGTATACAGGTGCAGTGATCGGTAAGGTGCTCTGACAACTGATGCTTAAAGTTAGTGAGGGAGATAAGTGTCTCCAGCTTCAGAGATTTTTGCAATTTGTTCCAGTCATTGGCAGCAGAGAACTGGAAGGAATTGCGGCCAAAGGAGGTGTTGGCTTTGGGGATGACCAGTGAGATATACCTGCTGGAGCGCAGACTACGGGTGGGTGTTGCTATGGTGACCAATGAGCTAAGATAAGGCGGGGATTTGCCTAGCAGTGATTTATAGATGGCCTGGAGCCAGTGGGTTTGGCGACGAATATGTAGTGAGGACCAGCCAACAAGAGCGTACAGGTCACAGTGTGGGTATTATATGGGGCTTTGGAAACAAAACGGATGGCACTGTGATAGACTACATCCAATTTGCTGAGTAGAGTGTTGGAGGCTATTTTGTAAATGACATCGCCGAAGTCAAGGATCGGTAGGATAGTCAGTTTTACGAGGGCATGTTTGGCAGCATGAGTGAAGGAGGCTTTGTTGCTAAATAGGAAACTGATTCTAGATTTAACTTTGGATTGGAGATTCTTAAGGAGTCTGGAAGGAGAGTTTACAGTCTAACCAGACATCTAGATATTTGTAGTTGTCCACATACTCTAGGTCAGACCCGTCGAGAGTAGTGATTCTAGTCGGGTGGGCGGGTGCAAGCAGCGTTCGGGTGAAGAGCATGCATTTAGTTTTACTAGTGTTTAAGCGCAGTTGGAGGCTACTGAAGGAGTGTTGTATGGCATTGAAGCTCGTTTGGAGGTTTGTTAACGCAGTGTCCAATGAAGGGCCAGATCTATACAAAATGGTGTCGTCTGCGTAGAGGTGGATATGAGAGTCACCAGCAGCAAGAGCAACATCATTGACGGAGAAAAGAGTCGGCCCAAGAATTGAACCCTGTGGCACCCCCATAGAGACTGCCATAGGTCCAGACAACAGGCCCTCCGATTTGACACATTGAACTCTATCTGAGAAGTAGTTGGTGAACCAGGCAAGGCAGTCATTTGAGAAACCAAGGCTATTTAGTCTGCCAATAAGAATGCGGTGGTTGACAGAGTCGAAAGCCTTGGCCAGGTCAATGAAAACGGCTGCACAGTACTGTCTATTATCGATTGCGGTTATAATATCGTTTAGGACCTTGAGCGTGGCTGAAGTGCACCCATGACCAGCTCGGAAACCGGATTGCATAGGTAAGGTGGGATTCGAAATGGTCGGTGATCTGTTTGTTGACTTGGCTTTCAAAAACTTTTGAAAGGCAGGGCAGGATGGATATGGGTCTGTAACAGTTTGGATCTAGAGTGTCACCCCCTTTGAAGAGGGGGATGACCGCGGCAGCTTTCCAATCTCTGGGGATCTCAGACGTTACGAAAGAGAGGTTGAACAAGCTAGTAATAGGGGTTGCGACAATTTCGGCGGCTAGTTTTAGAAAGAAAGGGTCCAGATTGTCTAGCCCAGAAGATTTGTAGGGGTCCAGATTTTGCAGCTCTTTCAGAACATCAGCTGTCTGGATTTGTGTGAAGGAGAAGCGGGGGGGGCATGGGCAAGTTGCAGCGGAGGGTGCAGAGCTGGTGGCCAGGGTAGTGGTAGCCAGGTGGAAAGCATGGCCAGCCGTAGCAAAATGCTTGTTGAAATTCTCGATTATTGTAGATTTATCGGTGGTGATAGTGTTTCCTAGCCTCAGTGCAGTGGGCAGCTGGGAGGAAGTGCTCTTATTTTCATGGACTTTACAGTGTCCCAAAACTTTTTGGAGTTAGTGCTACAGGAAGCAAATTTCTGTTTGAAAAAGTTAGCCTTTGCTTTCCTAACTGCTTGTCTATATTGGTTCCTAACTTCCCTGAAAAGTTGCATATCGCGGGGGCTATTTGATGCTAATGCAGTACGCCACAGGATGTTTTTGTGCTGGTCAAGGGCAGTCAAGTCTGAGGAGAACCAGGGGCTATATCTGTTCTTAGTTCTGTATTTTTTGAATGGGGCATGTTTATTTAAGATTGAGAGGAAATTACTTTTAAAGAGCAACCAGGCATCCTCTACTGACGGAATGAGATCCATATCCATCCAGGATACCTGGGCCAGGTCAATTAGGAAGGCCTGCTCGCTGAAGTGTTTTTGGGAGCGTTTGACAGTGATGAGGGGTGGTCGTTTGACCGCGGACCCGTTACGGACGCAGGCAATAAGGCAGTGATCGCTGAGATCCTGGTTGAAGACAGCGGAGGTGTATTTAGAGGGTAAGTTAGTCAGGATGATATCTATGAGGGTACCCATGTTTACGGATTTAGGGTTGTACCTGGTAGGTTCGTTGATAATTTGTGTGAGATTGAGGGCATCTAGTTTAGATTGTAGGATGGCCGGGGTGTTAAGCATATCCCAGTTTAGGTCACCAAGCAGTACGAACTCTGAGGATAGATGGGGGGCAATTAATTCACATATGGTGTCCAGGGCACAGCTGGGGGCTGAGGGGGGTCTGTAGCAAGCGGCAACAGTGAGAGATGTATTTCTGGAAAGGTGGATTTTTAGAAGTAGAAGCTCAAACTGTTTGGGCACAGACCTGGATAGTATGATAGAGCTCTGCAGGCTATCTCTACAGTAGATTGCAACTCCACCCCCTTTGGCAGTTCTATCTAGACGGAAAATGTTATAGTTGGGGATGGAAATTTCAGAATTTTTGGTGGCCTTCCTAAGCCAGGATTCAGACACTGCTAGAACATCAGGGTTGGCGGAGTGTACTAACGCAGTGAATAACTCAAACTTAGGAAGGAGGCTTCTGATATTTACGTGCAGAAAACCAAGACTTTTACGGTTACAGAAGTCAACAAATGATAGCTCCTGGGGAGTAGGAGTGATACTGAGGGCTGCAGGGCCTGGGTTAGCCTGTACATCACCAGAGGAACAGAGGAGGACTAGAATAAGGATACGACTAAAGGCTTCTAGTGCGTTGGGTACATAGAATAAAGGGGGCAGTTCTCCGGGCGTTGTAGAAAAGATTCAGGGCATTATGTACAGAAAAGGATATGGAAGGATATGAGTACAGTTCAGGTAACCCTAAGCGTTGGGTAACAATGAAAGAGATAGCGTCACTGGAGGCACCGATTGAGCCGGTCTCGGCGTGTATGGGGGGTGGAACAAAGGAACTATTTGAGGCAGTTTGAGAGGGACTAGGGGTTCTACAGTGAAATTGTATAATAAGAACTAACCCAAACAGCAATAGGCAAGGCATAATTGACATGGGAGAGAGGCATAAAGCAGTCACAGGTGTTATTAGATAGAGCTAAGACAACAACTGGAAATAGCGATAACGTTTGGGCTAAGGCTAAACAGAATAAACAGGACAGGGTACCGTGTAAAGGAACAGTCCAGCAGGCATCAGCTGTGCAGCTGAGTGATCATAAGGTCCAGTGGACAGCAATATGTGAGTCCGAGAGCAGTTCAAATTGGTGCTTCAGCACAGCTAGCAGGGAGCACAGTTGTAGTTTGCGTGTGCTAGCGGGCCGGGGCTGGCAGATGGATCTTCGTGGTCGTCGCAACGGGAAGCCTGTTGAAACCACATCAGACTATTTCGTCGGCAGACCAGTCGTGTTGGATCGGCGGGGCTCAGTGTCAACACTAGGAGGTCCCGTCCGGTTGACAGAGAGGTAGATAGCCGGGAGATGGGCCTGAGGCTAGCTCAAGGCTAACTGGTGCTTGCTATAGGGCAATGGTAATCAGCCAACAACAGGTTGCAGCTAGCTAGCTGGTTGCGATGATCCGGCGCTAGGGTCCAGTGATTCCGGCAGAAAGTCCAATAAGCTCTGGG